TGCAATACTTGGCGTTGCTGTCCGATTGGTTGAACTGTCAGAGGCAATGTCCGTAGAATCCCCTACATCCAGCCCATTGGCCCGCTCACCGCCGCACGCCCGGACGATGCCTTGAGATATTTATCGGGATGAGTCAGTCTATGCTGTTGGGAAATGTTTGGGATATACGGAATTGCCCGCAATCCTTGCGCGAGCCAGCTGCTTGAGTCTAGTTTAGTCACAGCTTGGTAGATCTGATGAGGCAAAGCGAAGATGAGGCTCCTCTCTGTTTGCCGGTGCTTCTCTTGCTGGTGGTTAGTGGGGAATAAGGGAATATATTCCCTATAATTATAACCCCTGTATAATAAAATATACCTATAGTAGTCCCTACTAATGCCTACATAATACAATCCCATATTCCCTACTAACCCCCAGCAAGTTCTGTTTGCCTGGGGAGCAATGACATCAGATTAGCGCTGTTGTGGCTGTGTGAGCCAGCGGGGGATTCGAGTCCCCCTTAAGTAGATAGGGCTTAGGGTTTAGGGTTATGGTCCCCCGTAAGTAGATAGAGGATGGCTTTGGGTATCATATTGGGGTTATATTCGGGATAATGTAAAAGAAAATGGAAACTACCATGTGATGTGTGGTGTTTTTATCGGTCATAGGAGAGATGTAAAGGATGGACATCGGATTCGTGACGCAGGGTTTTCGATTGGAAAACGTTAACACGCTCACCAAAAACGATCACGACAACATACACACCGAAAATTGACCAGTTGCCCAGACAACAAATAAAAACCGCGCATCACGTTGTAGTAGGGTATATATCGGGGTTATGGTCCCCGTTAAGTAGATAGAGTATGGCTTTGGGTATAATTCAATACGAGCCCCATATACCCCATATTCTATCTACTTAAGGGGGACTCTACCCCTAAACCCTAAGTAGTAGTTTCCATTTTCATTTCCATTATCCCTATATAACCCTAATATAACTATATCTGCTTAAGGGGGACTATATTCCTATAGAACTCTATATAACCCCAATATACTATAGTAGTTTCCATTTTCTTTTCCATTATCCCCATAAAACCCTAACATAATCCTAGTTTTTTGAGCTGATAGAAGATCTGAGAGTGGAGTCCATGCAAGCTGCCTAAGCTGCCAGACTGGAAGCTTCGAGGCTTCGATCCAGGAGAGGTTTAGGGTTTAGGGTTTTAGGGTTTTAGGGTTTAGGGTTTTAGGGTTTGGGGTTTTAGGGTTTAGGGTTTTAGGGGTTCAGGGTTTTGGGATTGGGGTTTAGGGTTAAGGGTTTAGGGATTGGGATTGGGGTTGGGATGTGGGTGTGAGAGGCGAGAGCGGCTCAGCTTGATCCTTCCTACGGTCCATTCTCCCTAAACCCTAAACCCTAAACCCATTGTGGTACCTTAATTTAAGTTCCTTAACAGCAACCCAGATTCTCTGCAGTGCAGGAGTTATTTGACATGCAGTCTGTGGCAAGCGCAAGCATACCCAACAGTGCCGAGCCCAGGATTTCAATCAACCCTAAATAGTAGTTTCCATTTTCTTTTCCATTATCCCTATGTAACCCTGATATAACTATATCTACTTAAGGGGGACTATATTCCTATATAACTCTATATAACCCCAATATACTATAGTAGTATCCA